GGCGCTCTGGCGACGCCACGCCAACAGACAGCCTCGGCCAAGGCAGGCAAGCTGAAGAAAGAGGGATCCACTCGAGCGCGAGAGGCCGCCGCGAAGGCGGAGACCAGCCCGGCGTTCCCGTGGATGAGTGCGCTGGAGAAGATCGCGATAAAACCAGGCACAGCGTCGCTGTACCAGAGGACGCCCCGGCTGTTCTTGCCGCTCTGCCAGATGCTCGGCCTGACCCGGAGTTGCCGGGACGAACTGGACACCGCTACAGCGGGCTACTTCAATTCGGCGTACACGGAGGGCCACGGCGCCGACAAGGCGAGCCGGCTGATCGCAGTCCTAAGCCACGTCTTCCCGGAGCTCTACAAGAGGACCCGACAGGCTCTGCCCCGTTCGACGCGGTGCGCCGTCAGCTGGAGCCGCGGCGTACCAGCCCAGTCTCGCCCCACTGCCGCGCCTTGCGGCCCTTGCGATAGCGGGCGGGATGATCATGCTGGGGCTCCCGAGGATGACCATCACGGTCGCGGTCTCGCACTCCTGCCACCTCCGACCCGTCGAAGCCATGGCCCTCATCGGCAAGAGCGCCGCGGCAGCGGCGCCCGTGGCCGGCGCGGGTTACACGATGATGGGATTGGTCTTGCACGAGACATCTCTCGGCGCACCAGACAAGACGGGGGCCTTCGACGGCGCGGTCACGATAGATGATCGCCGGCTACGGGAGCCCCTTCCTCGGACTGAATGCCGCCAGCAACGCGGGCGGCACGCTCTGGAACTTCAGCAGCGAGCTGCATCGCAAGGCGTTCAGCGCTGTGGCCGAGGGGTTGGGATTGGGCCCGTTCGACCCGCACCCGCATCAGCTCTGTCATGGAGGAGCCTCGGAAGATCTGGCGTCGCAGAGGCGGACTCCAGAACAGGTCATGCGGCGAGGTCGGTGGACGACGACAACATCGCTGAAACGACGCGGCAAAGAGACCAAATTCTTACACGCGATCAACCAGATCCCTCCGTCCGTCTTCGCCTTCGGAAGCGAGGTGCCCCAGAATTTCAGCCGCGCGATCCAGAGAGGCGTCGCCGGCCGCCAGGGCCAGCTCGCGATGCCAGCGTTGTTGTGGTCAGGGGTCAGGCGCGAGATAGCGAGGCTGCCGGCCGCGCTGCTGCGCCAGATCCTAGGCGCTGTCCCAAGGTTCCCAAAGCCCGACCGGTGAGTAGATACCTCCAACACCTGCCAACACGAGCACTGAAAAATGCGACCCACAGCCGACGAACGAGTTTCCTGGAGCTTTGCGCTGGAATGGTGGCATCAGCCGTTTTATCAGATCCAAAGGGTTCGCGGTCCTCAGTCTGGATGTCCGAGACCACCCGCTCCAGGACCATCTCAATCTTATTTTCCAGTCCACTGTGAAGGGGTGGATCCGAGGGGGCGTTGTGGGGGCTATTTGGCTGGGAACGCCGTGTACTACTTGGTATATTATTAGACGGCCTGCTATTCGGGACGGCGATAACATCTTGGGACGATCTGGCTTTACCCCTACCCAACAACTCCAACTGAACATCGGTAGCGACACCTACTACTTCTCTGCCCAAATTTTCTGTTTGGCCAACCGTCATAATACACTTGCGGCGCTCGAGAATCCGGGTACTTCGATGATGTGGCGAGCGCCGCGGTTGTGCAGTCTTCTACGCTTTTCAATTTGTGTCGCGCATGCCTGTGGTATGCGACAATTTGGAACACGCTGCAAGAAGCGGACTCGCATTACTATGTGGACTGCGGGCAGATGTTCAGGTATCGAACGCTTGCGCCGACCTCATGGTAATATATGTGTTCGGTTTCCGGCCCAAGAAACCCCACATTGAACTGACAGGTAAAACAGAGCAGGGTGTTCATTGGACAGCTATCGCAGCCGCCTGCCCTACGAGATTGCGTGCGATCGTGGGACAACATTGACGTTACACTGAACAAAAAACAAGGCAGAATGAGCGAAATGTTTGGAATGCGGCCGGAGGCCAGTTGACCGGTCGGGATCGGGCGACGGAGGCTCGGCCTCAACGTCTCCGCCGTTGCAACTCGCGAGCCCGGTTGCCTCACCTCCTCCTGGGAAAAAGCTGCCCCCGTGGCCCCGAGGGCGCTCGCGGTCACTGTTTGCATGGAATGCAGGAAGTGGGAGTTAGACAGAGCGGGGCCGCACAACGTCGTGGCTCAAGCTCCCACCCTGTAAGTTCACTGCCCGCCCTGCTTTCGATTTTTCGTTTTTTCCCCAACCCTACTTGGTTGGGTATTCGTTTTGAATAGAGCAGTGGTCTCCACTCCTTCCCGCCTCCCTCTTGCCTCCTCCTGTCTTGCCTGCGGGGGGCTGCGATCTGTGAAACTGTCGCCACTTTCGAGGCCTGCTGGGGGGCCCAGCACAGTGACCCACGCGGATTCAAATTAGACCTCGCCATCCCTGGGGGGCTGCGATCTGTGAAACTGTCGCCACTTTCGAGGCCTGCTGGGGGGCCCAGCACAGTCAAATTAGACCTCGCCATCCCTGGGGGGCTGCGATCTGTGAAACTGTCGCCACTTTCGAGGCCTGCTGGGGGGCCCAGCACAGTGACGCCACACGCAGATTCAAATTAGACCTCGCCATCCCTGGGGGGCTGCGATCTGTGAAACTGTCGCCACTTTCGAGGCCTGCTGGGGGGCCCAGCACAGTGACGCCACACGCAGATTCAAATTAGACCTCGCCATCCCTGGGGGGCTGCGATCTGTGAAACTGTCGCCACTTTCGAGGCCTGCTGGGGGGCCCAGCACAGTGACGCCACCGCGGATTCAAATTAGACCTCGCCATCCCTGGGGGGCTGCGATCTGTGAAACTGTCGCCACTTTCGAGGCCTGCTGGGGGGCCCAGCACAGTGACGCCACGGCGGATTCAAATTAGACCTCGCCATCCCTGGGGGGCTGCGATCTGTGAAACTGTCGCCACTTTCGAGGCCTGCTGGGGGGCCCAGCACAGTGAACGCGCAGATTCAAATTAGACCTCGCCATCCCTGGGGGGCTGCGATCTGTGAAACTGTCGCCACTTTCGAGGCCTGCTGGGGGGCCCAGCACAGTAACGCCACACGCAGATTCAAATTAGACCTCGCCATCCCTGGGGGGGCTGCGATCTGTGAAACTGTCGCCACTTTCGAGGGCTGCTGGTGGGTCCAGCGGAGTGAGGCACCGCGCAGATCTGAGCAAAACCTCGCCCTCCCGGGGGGGCTGCGATCTGCGAAGTTGTCGCCGCTTTCGAGGGCTGCTGGTGGGTCCAGCGGAGTGGGGCACCGCGCGGACCTGAGCAGGACCTCGCCATCCCTGGGGGGTTGCGATCTGCGAAACTGTCGCCACGTTCGAGGGTTGCTGGTGGGTCCAGCGGAGTGAGGCACCGCGCAGATCTGAGCGGAACCTTGCCGTCCCTGGGGGGCTGCGATCTGCGAAGCTGTCACCACTTTCGAGGGCTGCTGGTGGGTCCTGTGGGGTGAGGCACCGCGCGGATCTGAGCGGGACCTCGCCCTCCCTGGGGGGCTGCGATCTGCGAAATTGTTGCCACTTTCGAGGGCTGCTGGCGGGTCCCGCGGAGTGAGGCGCCGCGCAGATCTGAGCGGGACTTCGCCCTCCCTGGGGGGCTGCGATCTGCGAAATTGTCGCCACTTTCGAGGGCTGCTGGTGGGTCCAGCGGAGCGAGGCACCAGGCAGATCTGAGCGGGACATCGCAATCCTTGGGAGGCTGCGAGCCTCACGAATGTCGCTCGCAGAAGTATATGCGCCCATGCCACGTCATCACCTCGGTATAACGTCTCCCAAGCTACTCATGCCCCGCATTGCGCAGGGGTTGGGTACGTCGCCAGGGTAATTTGTCTCTGTTCAATCCCAGGGGTGACTGAGGCTCGGCCTCGACGACTCCGCCGTTGCCACTCGCGAGCCCGAGGCCCCGAGGGTGCTCACGGTCACTGATACTGTTGATGGTCGCGATGGTGGTGATGCTGATGGTGATGGGGATACTTGTGACGATGGTTATGCTGGTGATGATGGTGACCGTGATGGTGACGGTGATGGTGATGGTGATGGTGGTGATGGTGATGGTGATGGTGTTGGTAATGGCGATGGTGATGGTGATGGTAATGGCGGTCGTTTTTATGGTGATTGCGATGGTGATGATGATGATGGTAGTGGTGAAGGTGGTAAAGATGATGGTGGTTGTGACGGTAGTGGTGCCGGTGATGAAGATGAGGGTAAGGGTGAGGGTTAGGGTGATGTTGATGTTCATGTTGATGATGACGGTGATGGTGATGGTGGTGATGGTGACGATGGTGTTGGTGATGGCGACGGTGGTGGCGATGGTGTTGGTGACGGTGATGATGATGAGAACGGCGTGGGTGGTGATGATGGTGATGATGGTGATGATCACGGTGATGATGATGATGATGATGATGATGATGATGATGATGATGATGATGATGGCAATCGCGATCGTGACGTTGGAAATCGTGAAGGTGGTGATGCTGGTGATAGTGATGGTGGTGATGCTGACGTCGATGACCATGGTGATGGCGATAGTGATTATGGTGGTTGTGGTGATGCTAATGATGAAGGTAATGGTAATGGTACTGGTGATGATGCTGGTGAAGCTTGTGGTGGTGATGATGGTGGTGATGGTGGTGATGATGATTGATGATGATGGTGGTGATGATGGTGATGGTGGTGATGGTGATGGAGATGTTAAGTGTGTTGCTGATGCAGATGGTGGCGATTGTGGTGATGGTGGTGATGAAGATGCTGGTGGTGACGATGTGATAATGATGGTGATGATGGTGATGGTGATGATAATGTTTGTGCCCCACGGAAATGACCTGACCTCGTCATCCGTTTTCCGCTCTGCAGTCTTTTTGGTTCAAGTCAGAACCATCTGGAAGCTCTCTTCTTCAGCTTCTCTGCGCTCCGAGAGCTTGCTTTCCTCCGTACACTCTTGTGGCCCGCGCCAGTCGAGTGCACCTGCGAGGTGCCCGAGGCTCTGCTTGCCGCGGAGCCTGTCAGCGGGGAGCGCCGCCTCCTGGCGGAGCTGGTCGGGCGCTCGAGCCAGTGCGTCTGCCAGTGCGACTGCCACTGCCACTCGGAGGCCGCCGAGGGGATCGGGCTCTCGGCCCTGCTCGGGCTCCTGGCGCTCTTCTCGGTCATCGCCTTCACGCTTGGCTTGCTGGTCGGCTGCAGCTTCGGGCGCCGCAGCTCGGGCGCCTCGCCGGTTGTGAGCGACACGGTCGTGTCCCTCGTCGAGGAAGATGGCGACGTTGGCGTGGCTCCAGGGGTCGGCCAAGCCAGGCGATCGGGTCCTCGTCTGCTACTATCAGGACGCGGGCGGGGCGGCGGTGGAATGGCATGAGCGGATCCTGCTCGGCCACATCAGCGGCTCCAAGTGGGTCGTCGTCTCCCGGGACTGGGACATCTTCGAGGAGGACTTCGCCGAGGCCGACGACCTGAAGCGGTTCTTGGCCAACGGGCAGGCGCCCGCTGTTGTGCGCGCGCTCTCTCACTACCTGGTCGACCACTACCGCTTCGGCCAGGACAGGCAGTACTACATGGACACGGGGGAGGCTCTCGCGCGGGGCCTTCGTCCCGCCGGGGCTGCTGCTCCTGCGGCTACGCCGGCCGCGGCGGGCGCGGGCGCCGGGCCCGCCGCGAAGTGGCGCGCGATGGAGGTTCGTGGCAGTGTGGGGCTTGGTGACGCCCTCACCGCCGCGCCGGGCTCAGTCGAGTTCGAGTCCAACGATCGCTGTATCTTCAAGCTGAAGGACGGCACAGTTTTGACCGGAGGGCTCGAGGGCACGCTGCCTACGGGCCCCGCTGCGGGGGGCGAGGGCGACTCCCGCATCCTGTCCGCCAAGCGGGACGCCCAGCAGCGCTATCGCCGCTCCTTCGCGAGCGCGCTGCAGGACATGAAGCCCGCCGACTTCGGCAAGAGCTGGGAGATCGAGGGTCCGCGCTCGACGTACTTCACGGCTGAGCGGATCTACGAGGGCAACCACAGCCCGGTCCAACGGCACTACTGGTGGCGCTCTGTGATGGGGCTGTCGGCGACGGACGTCGGCGTGGACGAGCACTTGCTGTTGTCCCAGCTCCTGGAGGTCGGCATGACGATCGATCAGATGCAGGTCTGCAACCTGGCGACGTTCGAGCTCGTGAGCCGGCGTTATCAGATGTGGGAGAGCGCCTACAAGGATCTGCTGCGAGAGGTGGACACGGGCGGCTCGGGCGGTGACGACTGGCTGAGCGAGCGCTCTCTGTTCTTAGGCGTGAAGAACTTGAGGAGCAGCGCCATCGTCATGCCCGAGCTGGAGGACTACGTGGCGAAGGAGCTGGCGGCCCGCGCCGCCGTGCTGAAGGAGCGCCGTAAGGCGCGTGAGGAGGCCGCGCTGGCCAAAGGAGAGGGGACGGGACCGACGACGGCTGATCCAAAGAAGAAGCCCAAAGGTCCCAAGGAGAAGGCCTGAGGGCCTGCTTCCATCCGACTTGCGCCGCCACGGGGGGGTTTGCCCCGCCTCCTCGAGGGCTTTCGTGAGGGGTTCAGGGCTGGCAGGCGGTGCCACCCTGAGGCGTTTTCAGCTTCGCAGCAGATGAGGCAGCGCGACGTTCTGCCGATCTCCCTGGCGGCCGCCTCGGAGATCTGCGCTGGGGGTGCCAGCGGGCTGGGCTTGTCTCAGAGCCAGCGGCGGCGGCTTCGACGTCGACGCGCTCAGGAGGGCTGGCTGTTCGAGGGCATCCGCGCCTTGAACGAGCTGGGCGCCCCGGAGCCGCTGGCGACTTCGCCTTCGTCTTTGACTTCTGCTCAGGTCTCGACCGTTCGACACCTTGCTCGGCAGTGCGGATCAGTCGCTGCTCCCCCGCCTGACTGTGGGAGCGCCCTGGGAGCGCGGGAGGCGCTCCAGGGCACGCGGCCCGGCTACGCGGATGACGCGATGGCCGTCGGTGCTCGGGCGAACTTCGAGCGAGGGAACGCGTCGCTTCCCGCGGGGTTCTCTGGGCGAGTTGCGCTGAGTGAGTGCCTGCCGCCTGCCCTGCAGTCTGCGCTTGAAGATCGGTCAATCCTACTTTCTGAGGACGAGGCTGCCGCTCGGCGTGGCAGCTTTGATGGCAGCCTTTTCCTTGATCCCGTCCTTCGGGATAATCCCAAACTTTTTGGAGAGTTCGTTTCTGGGCTCTGGGCCGCTGGCGTTGTGGAAGTCAGCGACGATGCACTCGAAGAAAGTGGCTTGTTTTTCGTTCGAAAAAAGTCAGGTGCTCTTCGCCTGATCTCGGATACTCGTGTGCCTAACCCTCGGTTCCGCGAGCCTCCTGGTGTGGTCTTGCCTTATGGTGAGGCTCTCGCTCATCTCGAATTCGAGCCTCATGTGATCCCCGTGCTGCACGGGGGTGATGTCGAAGTCTGCTATTATCAGTTTACTCTTCCTGAACAGCACAGGTGTTTTTTCGGCCTGCCCTCTCTTCCTATTGCGCACCTGTCCCCGGACCTCGTCGCCGCGCTTCCGGATGCGGCTCGAAATCGGGGCTGGGCCCGCGCGCGGGCTCGCGTGGTGCCGATGGGTTGGAATTGGGCCGTGGTTCTTGTACAGGCCGCTAACCAGTATCAGCTCGATAAAGTTTCCCCCGAGGCCCCGTGGCTCCTAGATAAGGCCCCGCTCCCGCCTCTTGGCGACGTGGGGTCGCTTCGCGGACTTTATATCGACAACTTCGTTTCCATTGCCTAGTCTAAGTCGGTTGCCACCTCGGACGTCGAGAGTATGCAGTCGCAGCTCGCGGGCCTTGGGATCGCGTCGACCTCGGAGACCTCAGAGGCGGGGGACAATGACTTCATAGGTTTCATTTTGGTGGGCTCGCCTGGGGAGTGGCGTCCTAAAGCTAATCGTTTCTGGAAGTTGAAACTGGCTGCCGACTATCTCCTGGAGGTTCGACCTGCTATCGCAGGGCAGGAGCTGGAGCGTTTCGTGGGCCACGTCACGGCTCTGTTTTCGCTTTCCCCGCAGCTCTTGTGCCTCATGGAAAAGGTCTATGCGTTCATCCACGAGAGTTACACTCGCCGTCAGCCTCTCTGGCCGTCTGTTCATCGCGAAGTTCGGTGGATACGTGCTCTTCTGCCCTTGGCTCGTGCCTCGATGCGTCGTCCGTGGTCGAGTCGAGTCTTTGGCTACGACGCGTCTTGCTGGGGATTTGGAGTTGGATCGACGCGCTGGGAGACTAGTGAGGTCGCCGCTGTGGGCCGTGTTCGTGAGCGAGCACGCTTTCGGGGTCTTCTCAGTATCTCAGAGGCGCCGCGGCCCCGGGCTCTGGACCACCAGGAGGAGCTGGAGATTTCGGGGGCTTCGGAGACCAACATCCTGGGACTCGGACGGGCCCGCTCTTTCGCTGAGGTCCCGGCGGCCCTGGTCGAGCGGAGCTGGACTGTGGCCTGCGCGGGCCGCTGGAGGGGGGCCCCGGGGCCCCAGGTCCATCTCGAGGCCCGGGCTAGGACCTGGACGGTGCGACATGTTGCTCGAGATTGTAGCCTTCATAACACTCGTGTGCTGCTTCTGGGCGATAACATGTCGGTGATTTGTGCGCACGCGAAGGGCAGGTCGTCGACTCCGGCCATGAACTTTCAGTGCCGGCTTTCGTCTGCCATTGCTCTCGCCGTCGGGCTCAAGCTTCACGACCGGTGGGTCCCCTCGGAGCTCAACGCTCCGGACGCTGCGAGCCGAGTTCACCAGCCTCGGCAGGGTGCCAAGCGAAAGTGGCAGTCCATGTCCAGCACCGCCTGCCTGCCTCCAGCGCAGTTGCTGCTTGCGGCCCCGTCCGACTCCGACGACGAGGACGACGCGGGCCCGGGCTGCTCCAGCAGCCGTTCTGCCGGCGCGCCGACGGGCCGCGGCCCCGCGAGCAGCGGTCGCGCTGGGCCGAACGCCCCTGGGGCTTGCCAGCCCATCCGTCCGGGTGGCGCACGGCGGGTTGCCCGCTCAACCCCCTCTGGCCCTGGGGGCCGCCAGGGCTCGGGCCGCCTGGAGCGCCTCCGGACGGCGACGCGGGCGCGGCTGCTGCTGCTGGCCCCGCTGCTGACCTGTCTGCAGCAGGAGCGCGTCCGCCCGGCGACGCAGGCGGGCTACTGCGACGTGCTGGAGCAGCTGGCTGGCCACCTGAATCAGCGGCCGCTGCCCGCCTGGTCGGGCCCGCGGTGGGACCTCCAGCTCCTCGATTTCGTGGAGTGGGCGCGGGGCGAGGGGTGGTCGCGGGCGCTGGCCTCTCGGCCGCTGGCCGCCGTGGCGTGGGCCCAGCCTACGTTGGGCGGCCCGCTGCGCCAGGTCTCCCCCGGCGCGCATGCGGCCATGCTAGGCTGGCGCCAGCTGGACCCGGGGCACAGCCGCCCGCCGCTGCCCTGGGGCGTCGTGCTGGCCTTGGCGTGGGCGATGCTGCCCGAGTGCCCTGTGGGCGCCCTTGCCATCATCGTCATGTTCGAGACCTACATGCGCCCCTCGGAGCTCCTCAGCCTGACTGTGTGGCAGCTGGTGCCGCCCACGACGTCGCGCGGCCAGGGCGCGTTCTGGGGCTTCTGCGTTCACGTGGAGGAGCTGGGACGGCCGTCCAAGACCCAGGAGTTCGACCTGAGCGTGCTCCTCGACTTGGACCGCCACCGCCCGCTCATCCCGCTGCTGCAGGCGCTGCAGGCGGGGCGCGCCCGCGGGGAGCGCCTCTTCGACGTCAGCTCGAGGCAGTTGTACCGGTCCTTCGCGCTGGCCGTGCAGCAGGTGGGGGTCTCTTGCGTCGAGCCGAGCCTCTACGCGCTGCGGCGCGGGGGCGCCAGCCACGATCGTCTCGTTCGAGCGCGGTCGCTCCTCGAGGTGCAGCAGAGGGGGCACTGGCGCAGCTTTCGGAGCGTCGCTCGCTACGACAAGCACGCGCGGTTGTCCTTGCAGCTCGGCAAGCTCCCCGCGACGATGAGGGGTCAGATCGCGGCGCTGGTGGACCGCGGCCTCGCGCCCTTCGTCGAGCGCTGCGCCAAGCTCTTGCACAGCCGCAGCCCTTCGGCCCGAGGATCTTTCTAGACTTGTTCTCGGGGGCAGGAGGCTTGGCGGCGGCTTTGGCGGACCGGAATATCGCCGTCGTTTGCATCGATATCTGCCACGGGCCGTCCCACGACCTGCTGAATGATAATGTGTTCAACACCCTTCTTGGATGGATTCGATCAGGGCTGGTCTTGGGAATGTGGTCAGGTACCCCATGTCAATCGTTCACGATGGCCCGCCGGGCGCCGCAGTGGTCACGACTTCCTCATAGGCTGCGCAGTCCTGAATACCCCGCAGGTCTTCCAAATCTTGATGTGCGTGATCAGCGGACAGTTGCCGAAGGTAACGTGCTGGCTCATCGGTCCGGCGTTCTGCTAGAAACGTGCATCCAGCGAAGCCTGCCGTGTGGGGAGGAAAACCCTTCTCAGAGCTACTTGTGGCTTGGCCACCGTCGGCCTGCCATGATGAGACGTCCCGAGTGCACGACCTATATTGTTGATTATTGCGCTTTCGGCACGCCTTGGAGAGCTCGTACTCGTCTCAACATGTTCAATGTTAAGTGTCCGGCTCTGGAAGGTGCAAAATGTAAGGGCCGTGGTACTTGCAGCTCTTCGGGAAAACCACATTATCAGTTGGACGGGCCCACGGGAAAAGGGGGATTCTTGACACGCCAGAAGCAGGTTTACCCCGAGAAGCTGTGCCTCGTGCTATCCAAGGCTATCGCCTCGTCCCTCAGCCTCTTGCGTGTGCACGAACTGTGGCCAGCCCTCTCCTCTCTTCCCTCCTCCTTGACCTTCCCTCTCGCCTCGCCCCTCCCCTTCTAATCTTGGGGCCTCGGGGGGGTTTTCCTGCAGCAATACCTAACCTGGAATAATTCGTCGAATAAATTCGCCACTCCAGTGCTGTGTGCGGGGGTCCTGTTTATGGGCAGAATTGGTTTGAAGATGCTCACCTGTTCACCGCAAGCAGTGGTCTGGAAAGAGAGTAGTCAGGGTCATGTTTGTGCCCCACGGAAATGACCTGACCTCGTCATCCGTTTTCCGCTCTGCAGTCTTTTTGGTTCTTCCAGAACCCGCCCACCCCCAAAAAGCTGGGGCAGAATTGGCTTGAAGATGCTCACCTGTTCACCGCAAGCAGTGGTCTGGAAAGAGAGTAGTCAGGGTCATGTTGATGATGATGGTGATGGTGATGGCGATGGTGCTGGTGATCGTGATGATGGTGATGGTGATAGTGGTGGTGATGGTGGTGATGGTGGTGATGATGGTGGTGATGGTGATGATGATGGTGGTGGCGATGGTGATGGTGATGGTGATGGTGGTCATGGTGATGATGGTGGTGGTTGTGTGGACGATTGTGATGAGTGTAATGGCGACCGTGGCTATGGTGAGGGTGATGGTTACGCTCGTAATGATGGTGATGGTAAAGGGTAATGAGACTCCAGATGATATGGGGGGAATGCTAATGTTTATGTTGACGGTGATATCGATGGTGGTGGTGATGGTGGTGATGATGGTGATGGTGGTGGTGGTGATGGTGATGATGATGGTGGTGATGATGGTAATGATGGTGATGGTGATGATGGTGGTGGCGATGGTGATCATGGTGATGGTGGTGGTGATGGTAAGTCTTGCTCTCATGATGAGTATGATGGTGATGGTGGTGATGCAGATGATGGTGGTGACGATGGTGATGATGATGGCGATGATGATGGCGATGATGATGGTGTTGATGGTGACAATGGTGATGATGATGCCGATGATGATGCCGATGGAGATGGCGATTGTGATGATGGTGATGGTGATGGTGGTGATGATGGTGGTGATGGTGGTGGTGATGGGAATGGCGATGGTGGTGGTGATGGTGATGGTGATGATGATGGTGGTCATGGTGATGAAGGTGGCGACTGTGTGGATGATGGCGATGAGTACAATGGCGATCATGCCTATGGCGGGGGTGGTGATTATGCTCGTGATGCTGGCGATGATGGTCGTTGGTGAGAACCCAGGTGATAAGGATAATGGCAATGTTGATGGTGGTATTGGTGGTGGTGGCGATGGTGGCGGTTATGGAGA